CTGCACATCCTAATTTACACTTATCATGATTGCACTTCCACCACATTGCTTGTATCTTTTCTCAGTATGCTTCACCACTGAAAGGAACAGACAAGGGGCCTCGCTTGTAAAACATACAATAATAGACTTTGCACTTGTTCTGTCTTACAATTTTATTTTTAGTTCCACAAAAGCCTGCACTTACTGGGCTCCAGTTGCAAGGACAGTACATTATTTATGGCAGCTGTCTATGGGTGTTTGTGTGTCTGTCTGGTCGTTTTTTTTGGGCATGCATGTGTGAGTTTTTATTTGCAAATTAGATCTGGCTGTTTTCGACGGGACAAAGCGGTGTTCGGCCCCATCAGTGCAGCCCGTCAGTACAACAATGAAATCAGTGTTAACCCTCTCCTTCCTTCCCTTCTGCCAGGAACACAGTCCGCCTGACAATAGGACTGTTTGTAGGTCAGTGTCCTGCCCCACTGCCCTCCATAAGCCCTCAAACTGTACTTTTTCAACATTTACAAATCCTCTTTCCCAGAATCCATAAACAGTAGAATACCATTATTGACTGTTGTTTACGAAATCCTACAAAGCCAGTGATGTTCAAAAGCTCTGTATGTGCAAGATAATCAATGCTAAACAAAAGAAGAGAGTAATTAGAGAACCTTTCTACTTGGAGGATTAATCACTAGCCAGGTTTCTATCCAGATGTATTGGAATTTTTTTCATGTTTTGAGAAAATCTTCAAAAGAAAATGAGAATGAATGCTTGTTTCCTTCCACTGTTGTTAATCAAATAGTTAATTGAGATAAGCAATAGGTGGCGCCAATTCTTTCAGAAGGAAACTATTGTAACTACCATTGCAGAAGATGGGGGGAAATGACTTAATTAAAAGAGTGTCAAATAGTGAACAACAATACAGAAAAACGGGAAATATGACATTTTCATATTTTCATGTATTTACTATTTCTTGTCGAGTAGATCATAAGAGCTCAATGCCATTCCATTGCAGTTTTTAACATTTAGCATTTAGCACTTACTAACTATACTTACATTTGGATATTTCAAGGAGTTTCCAATGTTTCGGTTTTTAACTTAAGTTGATTGAAACGTACCTGGGTAAAGTAACAATACCTTTTAATAGACTTTAATGTAATAGTACTCAGGGTGCAAATGGTGCATGTGGAGCGGCTGCCAACAAATTACACTGACAGTGTTAATTATATCAGTAATCAAACCTGAAACATTAAATAGTGTGGTAAAGGTTAACTTAGTACAGTGCTGACGTCTCTCATTGCAATCACTTCAACATTCACTCAGCCCTCTTTCCTTCCCAGGACCAGCTGCCTCTCCCCGTGTTTCTGAGGGAGGTTTAAAGCTATTTTCATTTCAGCTGGGAGAACTGTGGGAATGTTTGTCTAAACTAAACACAGCGTCTCAGACATCTCTGCTCAACACACTCTGCTCTGCTCTGTTTATTGAGGCTGAACAGAGTGCAAATACTGGCGGCTATAGAAGGCAAATACTATCTTATCATTCATTTTTTTCTCCAGAACTGACCGGTCAGAAAGATTAAACTATTACTTAATAGCATTATCACTGTTTACAAACATTTGTGTGAAATATAAGATTATAGTATTCAAACCATTGGACAGCAGAACTATCCTTTTTTTACTTGCATTTAGTATCCATAAGAATAGTTCTGACTTTATGTGCTTTTGCTTATTCAACTCCTATAAACACATTAACGGTAAATAGGTGGACATAGTCACCCATTTGTTTGGGTTCTAGTGTTTTGAGGCCTCAGATGTAGCATTTTACCACAGCCTCTTGTTGTTAGAGTCAGAGGTGGTCATATTAGGACATGAGGGTGGAGCTGCGCAAGACGAGGCCCGGCAGTGCCAGGTACTGTTAGCAGCTAACTCTAATGCTAGCTAGCTAGCTAGCTCAGTCAGCAAAGTGCTTCCTTGAAACACAATGAATCTACAGGTAAAATGAACAGCTAACTCCTTAGATTGTTTTAATGCTTAACAATGCTATGGTGGTAACTTGTCAATCACAAAGTAGCAAAGCCCTAAATCACATCCTGTTTTATTGACTTTTTACTATAAATGTGCGCATATTGTACAAAATGAACATCATAACATATTAAGACTTGAAGTGATTAAAACATAAACTCATTAGGAAACTGTTAACTGAGGTTAGAAATCAATTTATAAGTAGTATAATTTTCACAACTTAAAGAAATAATCAACTCTACGCAATCTGACTTATTTTTTAAACCAGTGGAGTCCTCCCCTTTTGGACACTAGACTTGGAGTTTGTAGCTTGATTAGAACTGATTTCATAGATAATTTTTGACTGTAGAGGATTTTAATTATTGCCTTATTTATGTTTTTAAAGTCAGAGGACTAATATGTCTCCTCCTTTCCTCTCCAACTCCAAATCACTCACAGGCCAAACAGGTGAATCTGTGCTACATTGGCGCTACACGGTGTCCCTTTTTGGAAGAGTGTCCAGGTGGTAAATTGCTGCCGTCTCTCTGTGTACGCCTGGAGGCGTTCGCATTGTCTCACAAAGGATTCAGCTCAACAGTAAGTAGATGGGTTTGTTAGAGAACTAATGAGCGGAGCTGGTCTGTGTCCCCGGGGCTTCACAGCTTAGACTGTTGAATTGATGGGAATCTTATTCATCCGTCCACGCAACACTGTTTAGTGTAATCACACACAAACACACACATAATTACCTTTAAGTGCTAACACAAGGCCTTGCTTACGTAGGACTAATATGTGCATTTTCGCCTTGCCGGCCTTCTTTACACTGGACAACAGTTATCCTGATAGTTTACAAGTGCTTCTAAAAAGAGCATAATAGAGTTTAAATACTTCCTTACAAAAACAGTGACTGGATTGCTAAAGAAAGACATTTATATTTACTCCTCAGAGTAAACCAAACAACCTTCATGGTAGTATCTCAGTGCCAGTAGCCTATTTACAAACTGTAATCTAATTGCAATAAGAGGCAAAAGACCCTCTCGTGAGCAAGAATTTGGTTTGTCCGTTTTGGGCTACTGTAGAAACATGGCGGTAAAATATGGCAGACTTCATGAAGCAGAACCGCCCTCCATGAAGATATAAAAGCTTCTCATTTTCAAGTAATTATACACTAATGAAATCAAAGTTATAACTATTATATTCCATTTCTGCCTATACATCCCACACAATCTTCCTTTTTTGTATCTAACTGGCTGTAATCCTGTTGGGAAAACATCAATCTGCTGAAAGCACATGTTTTTGCCACTGGCTCAGATTGTTATCAAAAAAGGAAACTAACTCACTTGCACCGGTTTGTAATTGTGTTTTACCAAGTTCAGCTAAAGGAAAATCTTGTTCTGAAATCTTGTGTCGCATCCGCATAATATTCAACCAAGACATTGAATATATGTAAGATATCACAAAGATTTCTTTACAACAACACTTCAAACTCTTTCCGGTTAACATACATAACAACATGTGAAGATAGGGTCCAGGTTGAAAAATACTATTACATTACATTTTATTTAACTGAGGCTTATCCAAAGTGAATTACAATACGTGCAATAAGTGCTGGTGCATTAATTTAAAATGGACTATACTCTTTAAGTGCTAATTTCTTTGTTTTACCCTTTGAGCTCCATGACTGGACAGCAGAGCAGAGATACATACATGTGTCCCTCAGAGTGATCAAATAAAGATACACACAGTACATGATATTGACTTTTACCTTATTGTACAATGCCATGTCTTTTATGCTGCTGCAACACAAACATTTCCCAAATAGGGATCAATAAAGTACTATCCTATCCTATCCTAACATATCCTCTCTAATTCGATCATTGAACAGAATCTACTCTTCAGTTGTATCTGGGTCACGTCCAAGGGGAGCGAGTTTAGAAAAACGTGGAGAATAGAAATGTTTCCACCCAATACCCAGCTGTCTGTAACATGCTATGGACAGCTGGCTGGCTCCTTCCCTCCACAGTACAGCAGCGTGATGCTCTCTGGCTCATTCCCACAACAATCAGAACGTGACAGAAGCCATGGGCAGAGCAACAGATGGGAGACGTCTTCAAGATCCACAGCCGTCTGATCCTTGTGAAACCATAGAGTGATCTTACTGGGACTAGTTCAATGTCAGGGCTCGGTGTGTGTGTGTGTGTGTGTGTGTGTGTGTGTGTGTGGTGTGTGTGTGTGTGTGTGTGTGTGTGTGTGTGTGTGTGTGTGTGTGTGTGTGTGTGTGTGTGTGTGTGTGTGTGTGTGTGTGTGTGTGTGCGTGTGTGCGTGTGTGCGTGTGTGCGTGCGTGCGTGCGTGCGTGCGTGCGTGCGTGCGTGCGTGCGGGAATGCATCACTGTTTTTGCTCAAAGCGAGTGTGTCCTATTCCCTTGGTATTAGTGGACGTTACTCAGCGTGATGATTCAACATTCCTGTCCGATTTTTGGCTGACTCAGAACTTGGACCGTTCACTTCAGGCAACATCAACATGAAGGCAGCTACTTAATGGACTGACTTCTATATCATATCTGACACACACACACACACACACACACACACACACACACACACACACACACACACACACACACACACACACACACACACACACTAAAATATGAGGCCATTAGGAGGCTTATGGAGCAGTGAAACAATTCAGTGTCATTGATAAATAGATTAAGATCCAAAGCAACTTGCTTGACATAACTTTGACATAATTTAACACACTAAATAAACAGATTTTATATAATAAAAAGGATTTACGACATGTCAAAAGATGCTGCATGGAGTAGATAAAGAGTGGAAATTGTATTTTCTGTTTTCTTGCCTTAAATGCTTAATCTTTGTTCTGACAACGTATTATGGAAAATCATGTTGTCCTCTCTAAGGTCCTGCTCCACATGAAGACATCAAATAAAACTGTGTTATTGGAGCAAGCTTGTACATATCCCTCTGCAATTAAAGGTTCATAAGTTTAGGAAATGACTCACAGGGCAGGTGTTTGTTGTGGAGGTTTGCTGAGGAGGAGCTCATGATGCCGGAGAGTCACAGGACAGATAATCACTCAGAGAGGATCAGGATGCTGCCGATCATCTCCTCCTCTTCTGTCCAAGGTGACTGATGCTGCTGCCAACGCTGCTCTGCTTCCTCTCTCGCCTCAGTGGACTCTGAGCCACTCGGATGAGGCGAGAACAAGTTCAGGGCTTTGTGGAGCCGACCAGCTGACCAATGACAGGGAGGAGGGAGGAGCAGAGGAAGGGATTAAGAAGAGGGAAGGAGGGATTTTATGTAACGGAGTGGAAAGTACCAAGGAGAGACATCAGGCACATGCCTTTGTTATTTGTGGCTTTCTACACCCCCCCTCCCTCCATCCTTCCTCCCTTTCTGTCTCTTGTTCCCTGTCCCTTTTTTTTGTAGCAGATTTAAACTCCCTCCCTGTCTCACCTTCAGGGTCAAGTGACGTTTGTATACTGTTTGTGAATTGAAATAGTGTTAATACTCTAAGAAATAAGGTTAGCATTTGTTCAGTACAGATGTATACAATCTGAATAAGTAATGTTGGATTTAAAATGAAAAGCATAGCTGTTGATCTATATTTAAAAATAGATTTGAGCAAAGTTTTTGAATAAGAAAATGTGTTTTCTGTCTTTTTAGGTGAATATAGGTATTAGAGGAAATATCTACTTTCACATTCAAGCTAAAAACATTATTGATTAATCTGTCAGTCAATTGACATAACATGAAATCTGGCTACTATTAGACTTTTGATTGTAAAGCCACAAAATGTTTTGCAAAAATGCCAAATGTTTACTGGTTCCAGGAAGATCCAGTGAGGCCATTTGCAGCCATTCTCTGGTATATAATAATTTGTATTTTGGTAAATCTTTGGGTTTTGAACTTATATATACAGTCTATGGTTTTGAACTGTTGATTTGACAACAACAAAAAGCATTTAGATATATTACACTTTGGGAATTTAACAACAGACCAAACCATTATTAGGGAAAATAACCAGCAGAATAACCCCTATAGTTGCAGCACAATTGAACATTTATAGTTCGTGTTTTGGTAGTAGGGATTTCTTAATGTGTTTTCTAAACAGTGTTGAAACATATAGGTCATTCTTAATATGTTTCATTGTACTGATCATTGGCTTAACCCTTCTCTTGCGTTAGGTCATACCCCCCTTCCCATACTATTTTCGGTCAAAATTGACCGGTGTGTTTTGCACAGTGATATCTCTGGAACCCCTTATCCAATTGTGGTGGTTGACATCTCATTTGAATGGTCAAAGCAAGTAGAGTCAAAGGGTGACAGACAGAATGACACCAGTGGTGAATTTCATGTTATAATTTTGCAGTAAGTTCAAAGATAGTGCTTACTGTACATTAGTGTATATTGTAAAAAAAACTTGCCATGTAGGCTGTGTTTACTGGAGATGGAAATGCTTTAGTTAGTGTTGTAGCTGAGATTCTTACCGTTCCAATGATGTATGGGATGTATTGATTTGATACAAGCAAGTCAGTGTTTCATTGTGTACTTTCAACTACAGTATATGGTCCGGACCCACCAGTGGGCCCATCAAGTTCAGCATTCACTACATTCACTGTGATGAATATAAAATAAGACTCTGATACTGTTTTCCTCAATGAACATTTAACAAAAATAAATATTAAGGGCTCCTCTCCCTCAGGGGCCTCTCCCTCAGGGGCCTCTCCCTCAGGGGCCTCTTCCTGGTCTGTTGACTGTTGGTCAGGCTCATAGTCTGGATCGCTGTTGTCTTCCATTTCTGAGACATCGTCCTCTATTTCTGGTTCAATCTCCTCTTCATCTGGTTCAAAACATTTGTCCAGAACCTCTAATCAGTCGCCTACTCATTGTGTCAAATGTACAGTGTTGGATTGAAATGTTGACTAACTTGCCTTTCATCCTCCATTTTCCAGGTATCAGTTACAAAACTTTACCTGAACTTATGTCTTGCTAACTTCCTGTCCTCCATGTTGTGATTCCAGCTGAGACCGAGCGAGGCCAGAAGCTCCCAGATGTGGACGCAGCACAGCAGCTCAAGTTAAGAGAGAGGCAGCGTTTCTTCGAGGAGGTCTTCCAGCACGATGCGGACGTCTACCTGTCCTCGGCGCACCTGTGTATCCGAGACTTTAAGAGACGTGAGTTAGACTGCTGGCTTCTCCATGACTCCAAAATGAATGTTCATACAGATTATTTAATTGCCTCCCCTTCCCCTGCAGCTCCAATTGGCAGCATCTCATCCATGGAGGTGAACGTGGACATGATGGATCAGATGGAGCTGATCAACGTCTCGGACCAGGAGGCCTTAGATGTGTTCTTCAGCTCCAGTGGAGAAGAGGGGTCCATGACCTCCCCGCTGCCAGGTATGGAAACCAGAAGCAGGGCAGAGATTAAAATACACTTTACACACAAAAAGTAATGCACTACAATATGTATGTGACAAACGTAGTCGTGATTCATGCTAGGTGACGTAGTTTGAATAAGGGAGGAAGTCAGGGTGGATGGTCCGAAAACCCCAGACGTTCAGGAGACCATTGTTCATGTCACATTTAAAACCCAAATGCAAACATGGTGTATTTGTTACGTATCTTTCGTATTTTGGAAAACTGCATTTCCATAGTTATTTCAACCCAAATCACAATATTTATAAGATTTGATAAGAACAGGTCCTGCACTTCAGGGCTTGTGCAGGAAGTAAAAATACGAAATATAATACCTTTGAATGTGGATAGTCTTAATAACATCCCTAACACTTTTTTTGTATCTAACTCACAGTCCAAGGAAACAACAACAATGGGGAGGTCATCAACAATGGACTCTTTCGACATGTCCTCGAGGGTCTTGATGCCAAGTCCCGCATGTCGTCCACGTCTTCAAACTCCTCCTCGGACCGCCAGAGTCTGGACGCCCACCGAGGAGAAATCTGCGAAGTCAGGTCAGAAGATGAGAAAACACACACCAGCACAATCAAGCGGAGAGCCGTGCCTCCTGAGATGGAGAGAGTGATGAGTCATACTCCATCAGCATCTTCGTAGGACGCGCCCTCTCCACCTGCAGCACCTAGATTACACTCCCGGCAGGTGGTGAAAAATGGACTTCTGGATGAGAGCCAATAAAAGAGCCTCCACAAACTGGCTCTTCTCACTGCTTTCAAGCTTTCCATTTGATTTATGAGTTATAGGGTTGGGTTCTGTGTGTGTTTTCGAGACTGTAAATACTGGGATTTCTTATTAACCCTCAACTATTTCTATTCATGTTTTGGCATGTTGTAACGGACGTGATTTGTTGCCCTGTTGTTGACCTCACTGGACCTGTTGACGATGAATGATGACTTAAGGTACATTTGGCAAAACACCACCGTGTTTCTAATAATTAACAAAACAGTTCCTGGTTATTTGAAGGTGTTTCAGGAAAGGTAGTGATAAGTTTTCTTCCATGGAAACTTGATGACGCTACAACCACAACCTGTGAACCAGAACCAAAAAAACACTGGCTATTATTTGTGTGAGACGTTACTATGTATGTTGAGTTATCATCGTTCAAACTTTGTTTGTATAGCACTTCTCATACAATTAAAATGTAGCGCAAAGTGCTTCACACTGTACAACAACCCTATCCCCCTCTATGCACACACAAAGCAATTAATGGGTTTGTAATAATAAAGAAACTCAAAAATACCAGCATAAATGAATGTGAGGAATCACTATAAGAATTGTGTGTGTGTGTGTGCGTGCGTGTGTGCGTGCGTGCGTGCGTGCGTGCGTGCGTGTGTATGGAGATGTTTTCCATCTGCAGGATGAACATAATACTCTCAAACCCATTCATTTCCTATGGCGGTCAATTCTGACCAAAAACATCATGGGTGTTTCACTGTTGAATAAATCACAAAAAAATCAATGCAAGTGGTGATCATCAATTGTATATGTTCAGAGGCCTAGTGTGGAGGATAACATAAGGTATTGAGGCAATTGGATGAAAAACACAATATCTATGATCAAAAACAAAGTCACTCGGTCACTTTTGACCCGAAACGCAAGAGAAGGGTAAAACAAGTTCAGGGTGCAGTACTGGCCTAGTGCTTAAGACTTTTAATAAATCTAAAACATACTAAAAAACAACAACATACATTTGGCTTTTTTTGTGAATGCAGCCACAGTATATCACCTGGTGGTCTGTGTGTCCCAGGCTCCCTCTAGTGGACAACAGATGACACTAGCAGCAGTTCCTCCACATGCTGCAGAGGCTTCACAGAGCATCGTTACATCACTGCCTTTTCCAAAACACAGCATCTCGGTCTTTTGAAGAGTTGCAGGCAGGAGAGGAAGTTGTAGTAGTCATTGCGAGAATCTGTGCCTGAGATTCAGCACTTCAACTTTACTTTGATCATTTTTTCAAGGTTCTTTTGGTTTTATTATTTATTTTAAAGTTTCTAATATCCATTTACATAGGCAAATACTATGCATTTGAATTAATTGTATTTCTTAAATCTGAAAGTCATCACCATGTCCTGTGTTTCTGTCCTAAAAGCCATCTTTTGCCACTGCCCAGTTGGATCACCCCTTCTTCTTTCTTCTTGTTTTGGGGATTTTTAGAGGCGGTTGGCATCCAAACGTTGCATTAGCGCCCACTACCGGATAAATAATAAACTGCCTTTTCCAAAAACGCTATTATGACTAACGGAAAATACTTATATATGTATATATAAATGAAAAGGGACATTAACTAAACATAATCAAGCTTTATACTCTTATCTCAAATGACTACTAATATCATTGCTGCAGACTGTGAGAGGGCATGCAAGCCTCTCTCCTCTGCACTTCCTCTCCAATAACTCCCACAATGTACAGAAACCTTCTTGCAGCATCAACAACTATTTCAATTCTGTCAGACTGTCTTTCTGCCTCGGTAGCACAGTTGATCACCATGGCCAGAAACACTAAGAACTTATTCTTGTCCTTACACAAGCAATAATAATAATAATAATCCTACCTGCTGTACACTCCCTGTCTCCTAGACTATTCCCTTTCTTTGGTTGTTCTTCCCCATTTATTATTTTCTTGGACCTATTCTTTATTATTTGACTCTCCTTTTCTCTCTTTGGACAATCAGATCTCCGTGATTCATGATTCCCCCACACTGACTGCACTTGGGCTCATTCTCACAGTTTCTACAGCTGCACAACTCATAAGATAGGATAAGATAAGAGGTACTTTATTGATTCCAATTTGGGAAATCGTTGCGTTGCAGCAGCATAAAAAAAAAAACACAAGAAACAAGGCATTGCACATAAGTAGAAATTAAAGAGTACAAATAAACAATACTCGAATTTAAACATCTCAAAATAGAATAAAGCAGCATTAAAAAGTAGAAAATATACAGTTGGCCGTGAAGATAATAAATCATTCCCACATTTTCACAAATCCCCAAAGCAAGAGCTGTGACCAAACTTCCAGCATCAACTGCACTGTATTGGCTTGGGTACAAACATCCTCACTGGGTAACTGATGTGATCCAGGAATACTACGTGTATCATGACCGATCTTGTTTGTGATCTTTCTCAATCACTCATCCTGTACATGCGTAGGGCTGTCCCTCTGTCACACGTTTTGAATCTTTTGAATCCTTGTAGTGGTGCTCTCTTAGAAAGTTGGAAACTCACCATTTGGAATTCGTCCAATGATGTTCATCTCAACGCTTTTCTCCGTTGTGATTGTGACACACACTCAACAATGATCAGTCCACTTCTCTCCACATCCACTAAGAGAAAATATGTCCCTGCAAATTAAACAGTTTTCCTACATTTTGCTTATAATACATTTACTTTTACCATTATTTTGAATGCACAACTTTAACTTGGTACGGAGTATTTTCCCAGTGTGGTATTCCTTTATTACTCAAGTAAAGGATCTGAATACTTTCTCTCCACTAAAGGCCCCACATTAATAGCAAACCTTCATATGTTTGTGTGCATAAGCACTGAAATGTTACTGAAACTCACACTGTGTGCCATGCTGAAGAGCGAAACTTCAAACAGCGGCTGCAATGTAGCAGTTGGGAAGTGGTGGGAGTGACTGGCGATTTCTATCAATATAAACAAACAGTTTGTAAATGTCAGCGGTTATGGTGGTTTAGCCTAAATATGCTAGTAGTGGCAAAGACTGCGATTAACAGTCTGTCATTTTTCTCCAGTGTGTGTGTGAGACAGAGAGAAGAGCGAGAAACAGAGAGAAAGAGAGAGTGGGCAGAGGAAGCATGATGTGACTCAAAGTGAGAAATCCTCTCCACCTCAAAGTAGATTATGCGTGGGCTTCCTCATGACTGGGGGTTCACCTGCTGAGGCCGTGCAGAATCAATAGCTGAGAACTGGGCTGCGTGCTGCTGAGGCAGCCATGGAGAAGAGCAAAAAGTCCTCTGTCTTGTGTTTTAAAAATGATGTCAAGAAGATGAAAGGGAGAGGCGAGAAAGCAAGCAAGGAGAAAGTGAGAAAGAAATGTACAGAGAGAAAGCAGGCAGGCCGCAGGGCGAGGGTGAGGGGGGTCATGTTGTTCCTGTCTGCACATCCATGAAAGGCCGTCTTTTTCTACACAAGGTTGACTTTAGTGCTTGATGTTGACCTTTGGACACTTTGCTCAGAAGCAATTACTTGCCATTTCAAAGCATTCTCACAACTTGGCGTCACGCTGGTTCAGGATAGAACATCATAAGTGTGAGAAGAAAAAAAACAGGATGCTTAAGCAATGCAAGATTTCTGTTTAGCAAATGTGTGTCCACGCTGTAGTCTAAAAGCAACGCTCTCCCGCCCTCACTACGCCAGGCAAAGCGCCAAAAACCATCAGGCAGTCATACGCCTACCATCAGCTGAGGAGTTGCACAGCAGTCTCATTTCTAATTATACACCAAACAACAGAGAGCGAAGGAGAGAGGGAGAGCGTGTGGAATATGGAGAGTGTGATTACAAATGGAAGAGAGGCTGAGAGTGCTACTCAGCAGCAAACACAGGGTGGACAAGTAAGAGATTCAGAGAGAGAGAGGTGGAAAGTAAGGGAGGGAGAGACATCAAATCTGTCTGAGAAAGGTTAACAGGACTGACTGACTGAGCAGAGTGGGAGTGTAAATGTGAAAAGCGAGTAGGAGGGTAAAGAGAGAGGAAGAGAGAGAAGGCGAAGAGAAAGGGAGGAGAGTGTGTCTGTCTGACAGTCTGTAGAGCTTGTCTGGATGCTTCTGATCGCTCTGTTATCACCTGCAGCCTGGGAGGAGGACACCAGCCAGACAGGTGTGTGTGTGTGTGTGTGTGTGTGTGTGTGCGGGAGGAGAATCTGTGGACATGAATTTCTGAGGATGGGTCGCACAGAGGAACAGATGCACAGATGGAAGAACGTGTAAGTAAGTCTTTAAAAAAATGTTTTTTCTTGATTTATGTAACATGTTCTTGTCTTCAAGTTCAGCAAGTGCGATTTGTGATTCATGCCGGATTTTATTCTGAATGCTAGTTTTTAGGGAACTCTTTGCAGATTTGAACAAAAGATGTTGTATTTAGTTGTAGTGTGCTACATCTCCTTAGATAGAAACATCAAGCTGCCACTATATACAAATCATCTCAGATTAACATTATCACGATGGCAGCAAACACACTAAACACTGCTGTGTGTATACAATACATTTCCATAGATTAGTGACCTGCAGTGACCTCATCACCTTATAAGTTTATTCAGCACAGTGTCGGGCCTGTTTGGGCCATGATCCGATCTCTGTGAGTAAGCAGCCCGCACCTCCAAGCTTTTTTGAATGAATTTACATCTTCACTGTAGGCATTTAACTATCTTTGTATGTGTCATGCTATAATGCTCGCACAGGAATGCAGTGTCTGAACCCACACACATTATAGAGCAGCAGCTCATATCAGAGTGAAAGAGGTCCATTGAGCGGCGCTGCATGGCTATATGATGATGGCATAATGCCGGCCATTGAGATGAGCTTTGCATCGAAAGGCTGTAAAAGTCCCAGTCTGCTTTTGACTTCGGTCAGATAATGTGTCTTTGTGAGAAGCTGTTGTGTGTGTGGCCACAAGATGCTTATATTTAGCTCTCCTTCAGTGAACTGACTCACAGTTGTGCATGCATGTAAGGAGGATGATGGGGTTTCAGCGGCTCGAGGTGTTGGAGACCACTTCAGCCTCATGAGAAGAAAAGCATGCTTTAATAACCAGCACCCATCCGTCACTTAATACACACACTCAGGGCAATGTCTTGATTAAATGTTATCCTTGTGATAAAATCTGTTAACTTTACATGAACCTCTTGCTTTGCATTGTTCTAACCTTGTACCGCCATACTGTGCAGCACTTTGTAACCATAGTAACTTGAGGTGGTAACTGTCCATCAAACTAAGACTTCTTTGAAGCAATTGGTAGCTGGAAAGTGAGGTAAATCTGGTTGAAAGAGCAATGTATGTTTATTGTTGGCTTGTCAGTTTATTTAGTTATACTGCAATAATATTCTTGAACACTTAGTGGTGGGTATTAGCTGCCCAGATTGTATAAAAAGGGGCATAAATGACCATAAAGGGGGGGCACAGGTAGAGTGAGAGCACACATAGATGCTAACTACGGACTACAGAGCTTCAGCTACAACCCAATAGCAATTGGAAACCTTGTATTGTACAACCTCTGCAACAAACT